AGCCAAAGGCGAGTTTCGTATGGTTTATGCGAGTGTTTTAATAACCATTACATGAGAGTTGCATACGCTATTTTTTCTACACCCGATAAATAATCAAGACCTATAAATATTCTATTTATATTGGTATTAAACACAATAACAGTAATTACTCGAATTTCTATAAAAAATTCTACAAAATTGTAATTAATGGTATTACCTTGGGTACTGGTATTACCACAGATTTTTGGGGCAAAATATTTTGTACTGCATTTTCTCCTTTCTCCTATATGTGTGGAGGAGTGTTCTATATCGCTGATATCAGACATTTTAATATTATAATTATCGAAGTTTAGCTATATACGAAAATTTAATACGTTTTGACAACTAAAACAATTACATAGGAATTTAGGACAAACGTCAAACATCATGCTTCATTGAAAAATTGTAGGTTTCTATTGATTAAAAATCTGTATCATAATGAAAAATCTGTATCATAATGGGTATCATTATGAAACGGATTATGGGCATATAAGTGCATTATTATAATACGGGGTGTAGAAAAAGAATTTTTCAAGTAATTTGCGCATTAGTACCCAAATTTGGCAATAAGAAACAACTTATGTCTCTCTGTCTGTCCGTCTGACACAGTCGTTTTTCAATTGAAATTTGAAGTAGTGGCCCAGATTAGGCGTTACCTAAAAACGAAAATACTTTGTCTTGTAAGTCAGTTGGGGAGGGGGGGAAAAGGTTAAATTGGAAGTTATAATTTTTCTAATGTAATCCTGCGATGTTAAATGAAAGCATTTTGTAGTATGTTTTCAAAATGCAAGAAGATAGAGACATAAAACCAAAACGATGTGAAATTAGGAGAAACATTTTGATATTTTTGTTATAATGAGATTCACTTTACTTGAGACGTAAAATAGAGGGCGTTACTATCTTTAAATTTTTTAATGGAAAGTCATGTAATACCTCATTTGAAAGATATTTTGATTATATTTACGCCCAAGCAAACAGCTTTATTTTTTTTTGTTTTTACAAAAATTACATTCTTGATAATCCGCAATAATCCTAGAAATGTTAGATAATGTTAGAAGAGAATTTTCTAATAACATTTTTTTTGCCAAGAAATTATGAAAAATTTAATACGTCAAGTGGTTTTTAAATCACCTTTGATATTCTTAATGTATTTATTTTAGTAAATACAAGAAGCGTTTCCTTAGTAATTAACAATAATTGTTAATGCGAGAATTATCAAGAATGTAACTTATTACTAAAGGCCCAGAACATATCTGTATAAGAACAAAGTACCAGCTACAAAAATTGCCATTTGTGCAGTGTTAAATCCCTCTAACAGTAAAAAATTACTTTATTTTATAAAAGATACTGGCATTTACTCTGTACTAGCCAAAATGTTAATTATCCATTGTATACTATTGTAAAAAACAGCATTTATAATGTATTATACCTTCGGTAATGATCTTTTGAGGTTGAAGCAGTAAATAAAAAAAAGAATTTAACCTACCTTTATGAATTTATTCAATGTAATTTCTGTAAAAACATAAAAACCTAAATCTGTTTACATGAACGTAAAAATATAGAAAATATCTTTCAAATGAGGTATCAGATTACCCTATTTTTCCATTAGAAAATTTAAACTAGTAACTCCCTCTATCTTACGTGTCTCAAGTAAAGTGCATCTCGTTATAACAAACATATAATTTTAATTTCTTTTTAGTTTTACCTCGTTTTTGTTTTGTCATTATCTTTTTACATTTAGAAGTTAAAATAGAGGAGGGTACAATTTTCGTCCTCACTGTATATAATACATTCGTTTGTATTACCTTTTCTTTGACAGTTTTTCGAAAAAACGCCTAAAAATTTTCAACTTATCTTCAAAAGTAATCTCCGAAAAGCAGAATGGATTAAATATAAGAAATAATTGTATAAAATTTTAAATAAAGGAAATGAGAAATATTTTTTCTTATAAATCACTATTTATAAAATCCTAATAACACAAGTATCATTTGTTACCATTTAATATACAGTATGGTTCAAATGAAAAGGAATAAATTCATTATAATGGAAGTAGTTGGTTTTTCGAAAAAATGCTCGGACAGGTCAATTTTGTTTACTTAAAGCGCAATTTTTTAAATAAGATTCAATTTTCCCCCACTTCCCATTTGTGGGCAGTGACGTCATTGACAATTTTTTTAAATAGCAACCCCAATTTTTTTTCTTGATTTTGATAGATCTTACAATTTCCTACTCGGAAACATAATATTTGAAATATCTGATATAACAATTTTTTTTGAACAAAAGTCATTTAAAGATCAGATACATAAATTTTATGTTATTTTGAAACACAATAAATTAATAAAAGATAATTATTTGTAATTAAGTGCTTAATCTAAAATAATAATAATAATAATAATAATAATAATAATAATAATAATAATAATAATAATAATAATAATAATAATAATAATAATAATAATAATAATAATAATAATAAATAATAATAATATAATAATAATAATAATAATAATAATAATAATAATAATAATAATAATAATAATAATAATAATAATAATAATAATAATAATAATAATAATAATAATAATAATAATAATAATAATAATAATAATAATAATAATAATAATAAAAAGAATTTAATGACAATTTCACAAATTCTTTTTATTATTATTATTTTGTTAGATTAGGCATTTAATTACAAATAATTATCTTTTATTCATTTATTGTGTTCTCAAAATAAAATAAAATTTATGTATCTGATCTTTAAATGTATTCTATTCAAAAAAAATGTTATGTAAGATATTTCTAATATTATGTTTCCGAGTAGGAAAATTGCCAAGATCTATCAAAATCAAGAAAAAAAATTGAGGTTACCATTTAAAAAAATTGTCAATGACGTCACTGCCCAAAAATGGGAAGTGGGGGAAAATTGAATTCTATTTAAAAAATTGCGCTTTGAGTAATCAAAATTGACCTGTCCGAGCATTTTTTCGAAAAACCAGCTACTTCCATTATAATGAATTTATTCCTTTCATTTGAACCATACTGTATATAGAATAGGAGTGTGACTATCTCGAAATCTAATATGTTTAAAATTTTAAGTTACGATAAGCAATTGAAAATTTCAAATAAGAAAAGAGAAAATTGTTCGAGAGAGCCCGAGAGAGCTCGAAAGAAACGAGAAATTCTCGTCGAGAGATGACACTCTCTCGTCTCGAATCTGTTTTGGAGAGAAAAAGTATCTCTCGCCTCGTTCGAGACGAGACAAGACGAGACGAGAGACGAGAATCTAATTAAAAGGTGTAAACAAAATTTTATAAAAATATTTATAGTGATAAGAAATTTATGATAAGGAAAGTATAGGAATCATGATTTTTTTCAATCTCAAGTCTTCGAAGGTTTTTTACATTTTGGGGTCCCTTGAATCCGTTTTGACTATTTTCACGATGATGTCTGTATCCTCGATAACTCATGAACAGATACAAAGAAAAACACCAAATTTTAAACTTAAGTTTTATTCCGGTCTCCAGTGAACTGATTAGATTTTGGGCAGAGTCGGAACATCTGGAAGGTACTTTATAGGTGGTCATTTTTATATTTTATGAAATATATCTATTATTTACGTTTGGAAAAGAAAAATTATTTTAATAAAATTTACTTATAATATTATTATCTATAATTTTTGTACCATACAACATTTTCTAAAATGGTCCGTATTCGAGAAATTTGACAAAATGTAAAAAAATTGATTTTTACAAAAATTGTTTAAATAATAGTTGTTTATAATATAAATTTTTGACAAAGTCGGAACATCTGTGAGGGTACTTTATAGGAGGTCGTTTTTATATTTTATGGAATATACCTGTTATTTATGTTTGGAGAAGAAAATTGTTTAAATAAAAGTTACTTCTAATATTATTATCTATAATTTTTGCTCTATGCCAAATTTTCCTGAAATGGTCTGTATTCGAAAAATCGGACAAAATTTGCATGATTGTGATTTTTAAGAAAATTGTTAAACTAAAAGTTGTTTGCGATATCGATCTCTATAATTTTTGTTTTTAACATGATTTTTTTAAAATGGACCGTAATGGAAAAATTGGAGGAAAAGTGCTAAATTTAAATTTATTAGTATTTTCGTTTTCAATGAATATCTATAGAAAAATGTTTCGAGCTAGATTTATGTGGAAAATGTATATATTTAGTTTATCCTCTAAACATTTATAGAGGTGCTGCAATAGGTTGTACAAAATAACCGGAGAAGGCCTATCTAGATAGTAAAGTCATGTGTTGGTCACATCAGATTTTTTTCTTAAAACTGTAGTTCAAAAATTAGGAAGTTTATGACATATATTAAATTTTCTACCTAAAATCATCCAACGATTCACATACTTAAATATCGTCACTCAATTAATATACACTCTGTATTAAATTATAGAGACGAAATGTTGAGATTTTCGTAGGAGTACGAAAATACACTTTTCGTCCGTGTTTCATACATTTTTTTTTTATTCAAATGTACTTATAGATATTGAAAAAATGTAGAAAATGAAATACGATATTCTATTATTATCAATTTTTCTTATAAAACTGAATGATTGTGATCACTAGGTATATTCTTGATAACAATTGAACAATTACTGTCATGTCAGTGTGCTTATGTGTTAAATCGATTTATTTATAGTTAATTTAGTTTTTTTCTTATTTAATGAAAATGCTTCTCAAATTTGATATACATTTCAATTATGGACTACTATTTGATATCAAAAAAATTATTACTAGTAGTATTAAAAGGTAAACGGAAAATAAAACATATTGCTTAAATAGCGGAGCCACTTTACTTATGCGACCAAGGCCGTAAAAGTATTTTTTTGCAGTTAATTTGAAGTAAATTTAAAAGTTCTCCTTTTCGATTATGTTTTCTCTTCAAAACATATTCGAATAATAACGAAATTATCACAACTGTACTAAAAAAATTAACTAACCTGAACTCTAGCTTCGGACAAACTGATCCTCAACGCAACTTCTTCCCTCAAAAACACGTCCGGATAGTGTGTCTTCTGAAACAGTGCTTCCAACTCCTGCAGTTGCTGCGGACTAAACGTCGTTCTGTTCCTTCGTTGCCGTCTCCTTCCGAACATATACTCTGTGAGAAGATCCCCTGGTAACGAGGGTAAGTACGGCCCTGCCATTTGCGGGCTTTTCGTTAACGCAGTTAAAATCAAACTGTGCCTTCCGAATTGTATGTAAATGTTGAAATTAAGAGAGACTCCACCCTGCGTTTGTTTCCATTGGCGCTTGACGGACGCCTTCCAGGCGTCGGGACGCCGACGCACGCCGTTCCTTAATAAGATAATGCCATTATTGGTGGAGTTAACTGCAACAAGTCTGTTGTTCCTCCTTTGGTAAGATTTACTGTATTTGAGATTAATCTGCAACCAAGTTAGTAGTTGTTTTATGTACAGTATGTTTTGTCATTAAAAACAATGTACTTATTGTTCACCGAGGTAGATTTTGACCTAATACATTTGAAATGTCTACATTTAAGAAAACAATAATAAAACCAATATTTAAAGAAAGATCAAAAAACAAGATAAAAAACTGTAAAACTGTAAAATTTAAAATTTGGTTAAAATTTTGGAAAAATAATTTAAAACAAAATTAATTAATTTTATAATTTAAAATAATAATCTGCCACGATCTTACCTATTGCATTGGACCGGCTGTTTTGCAGCCACGTGTAGTAGAAAAGTTTGGCCAGGTCCAATGCACAAATAAGGATTAGTCACTTTTTTATACGTGGACCAGAGTTGGGTCGGATACGCGAAAAAAGTATCCGAGTACCGGATACGGATACTTACAATGTATCCGGATACTTTATAGGATACTTATACCTAAAAAGTACCCGGATACAAGTATCGGGATACTTTTTTCGGATACTTTAAAGGATACTTTTACGGATACTTTTAAATTGAGTTAAAATAATGTTTTCATACCAATACAGTAGAACTCCAATTATCCGAATTAATGGGGACCGGGACCCATTCGGATAATCAAATATTCGAATAATCGGATTTTTTTTTAAAAAAATTGCCATTGGAGGGAATAAAAGCTACGTTTTGATATTGCACTATTTTTTTATTGAATTAAATGAAAGAAACATGAAATTTTCACATGTTTTAAATATAAATAAAATGTACTTATGTACAAGTTTAGAAATAAAAATCATTGTTTTTTAAACATCTCCGTCAATGTAAGCTGTTTTGCGGTCTTCAACCGTTTTCGGGCAGCCAGGTCACGCATTCGCTTGACGGTGAGCAGTTGCAAGTGGTCACACTCGGGCTGACGCTCCATCCACTTCAAAGCAGTCTCGAGGCCGGCAAATGCTTCACTAGCTGATGGTCCAGCGTCTACTCCAACATCAGCAGAAAGTTCTTCTTCCACTTCCACTTCAACATCTTCTCTCACACTTACAACAATTTCATCGTCATTGAGAATTTAAAAACCAGGGTCAGACGTGTCACAAGCCATCCACTCTCCTACATCTTCAGCACTTACTTCTGTACAACCAGGAATTTTTACAATCATTTTTCTTATTTCCTCTAGTGACAACGCATCTTCATCATCATCATCCTCTCCATATTCTTGTTTCTCATTTTCTTCAGATTCTTTTTTTTTGTTTTTCTCAGACGGTAGGCCTTTCAGTTTATTCCACGCACGTCTTAGCGTCACTGCGGTAACCAAACTCCAAGCTTCCGCTAAATCTAACTCGCGTACACCATGCCTGAATTTAAAATTCCTTAGCCAGCCGTTACTAGCATTAAAAGATGAATAACCAAGCTTTTCTGCTAAGATTTTGGCTTTTGCACAAAGGATTGGACCTGAAATCGGATTTCCCATAGAACGTTGCTGCAAAAACCATTTAAACACGGCATCTTCCAAATTTTTGTTGGTTGCTGTCTTCATTGTTTTCCTGGAGGAACTTCCATCTTCATTTTCAAGCACCGAAACAAAGTTTAAAAGTGTTGACTTACTGTTTTTAATGTCAGAAATTGTTGCTTGTCCAACACCATAAATCTCAGACAACTTCTTACCCGTTACACCTTTATCGAGTTGCTCTATAATTTTCAGTTTGTCCGCTAACGATAGCACAACACGTTTTCTTTTCGAAGCCATGGTATAAAAACAATACAGTATTGTACACGCACAAACAAAAGTAAGCCGTAGCGAAAGAGTAGCGTCCTCGAGCAAGGTCAATAGCACACTGGCTAATCTAAACAAACAATGACAGGTGCGCCGTGACTGCAATGCGGAACTTGTCTTAACTTGCCGTTGTGCCTACACACGCGGGGGGAAGTCAGTGTAGGCACAACGGCAAGTTAAGACAAGTCAAGTCAAGACTTGACGCGCATTTGTGATTCGGATAATCGGCGATTCGGATAGTCGGAGTTCGGATAATTGGAGTTCTACTGTAGTTATAATTATGCAATAAGATTTATTACTAGTAACAATAAACAATACTAGGCATAAATAAATTATCGAAAATGGAAAGTGATATAATAGAAACAGGAAAAAACTACTCAATAAATTGTTTATTATTTTCATACTGTGAATATAAAACATTAAAACAAAATGAACAATAATACAAAGGTAAATAAAACGAGTCGCGCCTGAACCGCGCCAAAAACCAGCCAGTGTCGTGTCCATATAAATCTAACGAAATAAGCTCGTTGTTGGCGCGACTTGCCATGTTTATACAACCTTTCGATATTCCCGTCAGTGTCAGATGTATTCGACAATTTATTTTTTGTGGATCCTCCGACGAGCGGTACTTGGTAGAGTCGAGAGCGTCGAAAGGAGGAGAAGTGAGAGATTGCTGAATATTTCGTTCTGGCATAGGCAAAGCAGGCTCGTATATTTGATCTTGTCAGATCTGTATACTTTATTGATGTTGATGACGACATAAATAACACATGATCAGTAACATTATGAGCAACAACGTCATACATGTATTTTATCAACTACATTTTAAGAACTAATAATGTAATTAGACATTTTACAAAACAAAAAATTCGAGATACCTACACCTACTTACCTTTGCGTATAGTTAGGCACTAAAACTGATACAGAAAGTTTAGTTATATTGCACTATATAAAAACACAGGAACAACCGTCTCTTGTCTTTGCCAACTGAAACATAACTAGGCTAATGGAACCTCCACAAGTTCATGACGCTAACACCGGACAAGGGTTTGCAGGATTTTTTCTGTAAAAACGTGCCGCAAGATGCTGAATCCCGACTGTCTGTATACTGGGTGAATCGTCGAATTCATCCTTGGCGATGAGCATTTTTTTTGCGTTATTTTAAATTTTACAGGGTGCACCAAACAAAACTACAAATCATAATAAAATAACTATTTTACTATTTTTTATTTAAGTAGGTACCTATTGCATATGCAATTGTGTCTTAAATATTGTAATATTGAAAAATACGTATTTCATTTCTAATTATACAGGGTAGCTCAAAGTAATTCGATTATACAGTGTGTCTACTTAAGTTGGAACCATATGGAAGTCATCAGATATCAAATTTTTCAAGCCATATACGAGGTTTGTCAAAAAATATGAATTTTGTTTTTGACAAAATCGAAAATTTTCATTAAGAAAAGTTGATTAAAATTGAAAATTAGTTTCAAATATGCTTACAACGATCTATGTGAAAAATCAGATTTTTTCTAGATTTTGCATTGATCCACCTGATTACGGTAATCCATAATTTTTTCTCTCTCTTGTCTACTATAAACATGATACGATTTCCTTTTCTTGATGTTTAGGAAGAATTTAGCAATTTTCTTATTGAAAATTTTCGATTTTGTCAAAAATAAACGTACTTTATTCTTGTTCAAAATTCATATTTTTTCACAAACCTCGTATACGGCTTGAAAAATTTGATATATGATGACTGTATTTTAAGTTTTGGGTCATGCAGGACATTTTATCAAGAATAACTTTTTTTCCTAAAATCAATAATAATTTTTTTTCCATATGGTTTCAACTTAAGTAGACACACTGTATATTTTAAAAGAGATAATATGGATTGGATCAGTTACGATTGTGGTAAATAATTTAAAACTATCCAAATGCCGAAAAAGTATCCGGTATCCGGATACTTACAAATTTGATCACGGATACGGATACCGGATACAACATTTGAAAAGTATCCGGATACAGAAGTATCCGAATACTACCCAACTCTGACGTGGACACAATTTTTTTTACAGTGTCGTTTTTTCCGATGGCGAAAACCAATATATTATGCAGTGCATTCGTTTGTTGTTTATTTTTTCTGGATATTGCAAAAGTTAGTTTTCTAAATGTACATATGTTATTGTTTTTAAGTTGCCTAATGATCCTGTCATGTCACACAAGCAGAGATAACAGAGATATAAGCAGTCATTGATAAAATATAATATTTACGATGCCAAAATTGAGTCCACAATCATAACACTCTAGTTGTAGGGACGGGGTGAGGCGACGAAAGGTGAGAAGTAAGAGAAGAAATAAAGAGAAGAATTTTACGCAGATACAACTTATTTTTATAAGTGAATAAATGTTTAAGCCGCTGTGCGCTTATAATAAACAACGTAAATATTAATGCCGGTGTAAGCTCTGTTGCCACTTCCAACCTAATATCACTATAAAAATTATTACATTTAATTTAGCGAAATTACATCTAATTTAGTTAAATTTAATGTAACTAATGATTCAAAATTTTTTGGGTTCAGTTGCAATAAAATAGGTTGAATTATTTTAGCTTTTTTAATAAAGGGTGTCCCAACAAGAACTTGAATTTTTAATGACAAGGAAAACAGAGAAATTAAAAAAAAATTATGCAAAAATTTTATTGGATTTTCAAAAGAAAATGATGACATTAAACATGAAACAAAATATCTGTCAAATGGCCACCGCGGTTCCGTTGACAGGTGTTTATTCGTTTGACGAAATTTTGGAAGACGTTTTCGAGCAAAATCGGCTGGATTTCGCGAATATTACGTTTGATTTCTTTCTTTAGTTGTCGAATCCTTTCAGGATGGTTCCTATACACTCTACTTTTTAAATACCTCCAGAGGAAATAATCTAAGGGCGTTAAATCGCAATTTCTCAGCGGCCAGTTTTGGTCTCCAAATCGAGAGATGACACGACCTGGGAACTTTGTTTGCAGTACAAGTTATTTTATGTCCATTCCATTCACTTCCAGCCAAAGAAAGTCTCTTAGCATGCTACGGTAGCGATCACCATTAAAAGTCATGGATACACCTTCATTATTTTGAAAAAATAAGGTCCGATGATCCCTCCTACCAAAATGGCGCACCAAACTGTCACTGCCTATGGTTTTTAAATATTAACTTTTTGCAGATGATCTTAAATTATACAAAGGGGTACAAAATGTGAGGGATTGTGTAATGATATAAAAGGACATTCATAATTTGTATGAGTGGAGTCAAAGAAATAAACTTTATTTTAATATTAAAAAATGTTATGTAATGACATTAACGCGTTTAATGGAACCAGTTGTTTTTAATTATATGATGAATAATGAAATATTAAAGAGAAATGAAGAGATCAAAGATCTAGGTGTTACTTATACTAATCAGTTTGCCCCTCACATAAAAAGTGCAATTATTGGGATTTATAATAAGACCAACTTCTACTTTTTCCAATATCAATACAATAAAAACTCTCTACTTTAGTTTAGTCAGATCTAAATTAGAATTTAGCTCTCTGATTTGGTCAGGTGAGTATCAAACTCATTTGAATGAAACTGAAAAAATCCAAAATAAATTTCTTAGATAGCTTTATTACAAAAAGTATCATATCAGAGTAGATTATAACTTGATGATGTCTATAGTCAACTTAGAGACGAATTTAAAATTGTATCTTTAGACAACAGACTTTAGTTATATTTTTATATAAGATAATTAATTATAAAATCAATTATTCTTTCTCTAATTAGATTCAATGTTCCACCACGCAGAACTAGGACGTTAGCTATGTTTAATATGCCGACAATACATTTAATGAACAGAATTCCTCTTGTGACCATGTTTCGTTTGGCCAACAATTTTAATTCTCTTATTGAATTGGACTAAAATGTTCCACAAAATATTTTTCGCAATACTATACTAAATCATATAGTACCGTCAAATGGGGTTAAGTGAATCACTAAAAGCTGTTTTTCTCAGAATATTCCAAAACTGCAAATATTAAAAATCTGTGAAAAATAACGTATGTTGTTTGGGGCTTATCTCTCACTATTAACCAATTTTGATATTTTTAGTTTGCTTAGAAGTGCCCAATTTTTTTTGGTAAAATGTGATTCACTTTACCCCTTATTTTGGGGTAAAGTGAATCATGGTTTAAATCGCAAAGAAAATCACTTTGGTAAATGTCGAGGTAAAATGAACCACTAAAAAACACTTGATTGGAAAAACAAATAAATAAAAGTAATACAAAGAACTAAAACGTTTATTTAAAAATAGTAAAAAAAAACAGCTTTTAATCATAAAGCAAAGAAGAAATTTACGAACTAAAAATATAATATTCGTCACTTATAACGGAAATGACCGAATGGTTCACTTTACCCATTGTGATTCACTTAACCCCGTTTGACTGAGAGCCCACTACAAATTTCGACCGTCATCTGATAACGAAATGAAATATGCTTCAAAGGCATATACCAACATTTTACATTACCAAATTGCACCCGTGCCAATCCCTATCCTGAGCAAAGTAATTAAAAAAAAATTATATTCAGAAAATCACATAAGACATGACAGCGACAATTGTGTTTTCCCTAAAAATTACAATCCTAATTCATTGTGACTTTAGCTTTTAAACCTGAAATATTATTATTTTTAACTACTTTTTAAACCATGTTTATGTGTGAAAGGAAAAAGGTGTAACGGTTGGAACCGTTATTTCGTTATTTCGACACAACCACCTCTTACTCAAATGTCACTTGTCGTGGTCGTCGTCGTCGTCTTCTTCTTCTTCTTCTTCTCTTCCTCCTCCTCCTGATTTTTTAAATTTTAAAAAGTTGAGACTAAACCAGAAGATGAAATTTTATCCCGAAATATATGTAGTTCTGAATTAATGAAAATTTAATCTACCGATCA